CGTTTTTTTTTTTGTTTTGGGGGGGGGGGGGGGGGGGGGGGGGGGGGTTACTGTACCCGTCCTATACCCTTTTTAAGGCCGAAACGGCCTCAAACACTTTAGGGCGGCACATACCTGTGTGGGTAATATAATGGAGTAACCCCCCTTGACACAGTCTAAACAAATGTCCGTGAAAGAATAATATTGCCATGTTATATAGTTAACCCATGGACCAATCCCCGACGCTTCCCCTTAAGGGTGTAAACTAGGTTTAAAATTAGTAAGTTGTTCACGTTTTCCCACAAAATTTTGGCCAAATTTATACAAGTTTATAATATATTATAATAGTGTTAAAGGTCCCTAACAGGGTCGGCTATACAGCATAATTGTTTCTGTTACAAATCTTGTGGGGCTTATCACGTTAGGCACTGATAACAACACAGCATAAGCCAGCAGCAGGATGTTGTAACTACCCTGACCCCCCTTTAGGCCCCATTTATTTTTGTCGGTGGGGATATCAATTCGTTTAGTTGACATCTACTTTTCTCTTGCAATGTGCTTATCTTAAGCGTAATTCTTTTTTGGCTAAGCTCGGTATATTAAGCTTTAGGAATATTATACTCGTGCCGGTAAGAGGTTGGGTGAATGACACTAAAAGTGTTTCCCGCGTATATTGAGGGTCGTGTAATTTAGAAGCCTCTTGAGCTGGTACTTGACCTACGTAATTGACCGTAATGTTAAATCTTATTGTGGGTAAAAATCTATATTCTAAGCCAAGAGAGAATAAAGCTCTCTTGTCTAAGCTTGAAGAATAGTTGACACGAGAAACAACTCTAAGCAAGGAAAATCTTGCTGGATGCCGATGTTTAGGGTGAGTGAGGCTCCATACACATAATTCCGACGAACCTCGAAACAGAGAAACACAAAACGGATCGAAATCCACAAATCGCAAACCATGACCTTTTGAACCCGTGAAGTAAAGTTTAGTTAGAATTCGGATGTTTCTGAAACGTGCAGTAAATAGACAATCCTAATTGGCGGTCTAAAGTCTACATAAAAACCGGCACTATTTTTTACAAGATAAAAAATATTCAGTTTTAAGATTTTCCTCTTGGAATTTTTCTCCAACTTAAAGGAATAAAATCCTTTCCATTTTGTGACCAAAAAAAGTTTAAAGATTGCTCGCTCGCATGTTGCTTTCATCAGCACGCACTTCAAACAATGTAAATAGATGAAACGATCGACAACATATTTTTTACCTGATACCGATATGAGTTAAAAATTCGCTCGAGTTCATTGTTTGTCTCAGCCATGACTAACTTTTCTTCATGGACGATAACTATGTCGCTTTATAACTCCTCCGAAGTTTTTGTGCCAGCTAAACAATATGGACTATTCACAGTCCTTGGAGATAAAAAAGACTGAACGTGACGCACTATTGTGACTTTGTTTACTTTTGATCACATCTTCAGGCGAAGTCTCTCTTTTCGAGCAATTCATCTCAATGCACAATAATTGACCCCTACATTAGTTAAACCCTATGGTTCATTTACTGAGTATATTAATGCTGTTTTTGCCCCTCACATTGACGGTGTTCGTTCGTATTCAAAACACCTTTAGGAAAATAAAGGTCATATAAGTCATGTGTATTAAGGTTTGAGATAAATGGATTATACGCTTTTTTAAGTTTCCATTTTGCGGTGACTTCAGTTTACATCTCCATAAAATGGTAGAAGAAATATCAAGAAACATCACGAGAGGTGAAAATTTTCAAAGGCATGTTTCTGGAACTCGCTAATGCTGACATCAATATAGCGTGCTTGCTGAACGGGCGAAAACACAGAATTGTGATCACAAGATCATGTACAAATTTAATGATAAAAGCTTATTAATACAGATACAGACATACAGACAAAAGCAAACCCCCTGAAACTTCAACGTGGGCTATACTTGTATGCTCTACTCAGTCACCAAACCTTGTCAGTAATAGCTCCTGTTTTCCTCAAGTCAAGCCTTGAACTTGTGTGCGAAATTCGCAGAGTTCCTATTTTTGTCCGTGTCTTCTTTATCCTCAGTATCCGAAATTTACACCTCCAAATTAAATAGAAGGAAATATTAAAGGAAAAGCCAGTGTTCTAACATGGCAAAGTTGTCACGTCACGTGCGTAACATCAGGATTCATCTGCCATTCATCGGCAACTGAGTTGTTCGCTTCACTGACTACGACAGCTTACAATCAAGTCTTCAGCCATAGTGTCGTCAACTGGTGAAATACTTTGCTCATAAATTGTCCTTCTTAATTGCTCATGTGCTACAATACATCGATCGATAATTCTCTCTTTGAGTTCACGAAGCGGCCCAGGCGTTCTAAACCTGACGCTCACAGTCATCTTTTAGTGTGAACGTACAGTCAACGGCGTGTCGGTTTGTATGCAACGTGAGCATTTCTCTGAGTTTCCCAGCACCAACATCATCTAACTGACTTAAACTCGAACAATAAAAAAATTATAGAGTGACTCCTATGATCGAATCGCTTCCAACAACGCAAATAGCTTCAGGTTCGCAACGCCTTGTGGGTTTTTCAGGGGGAGCGGAGACAAGGTACAAAAAGTATCCGTGCAAGGGCTCGTGCAAGAGAAAATCCTATGAAACCATTTGTGAGAACATCGTTTCTCGGTACCAGACCCTCGTGTCCTCCCTCCCCCGGATGACGGTTTTTCGACACCGACGACCGAAAACCGAATTTATTACTGGGCCGCACAGGCAGCCCAGTAATTGCAAGAAAAATAGGGAGTACTGAAAGCAAATGTACACTTAAAAATTAAAAACTGTTAAAAGTTTTTTCTTGTATTACAGTATCACCAGGATAAAGCGTTTCATTTTCCCGGAAAATTTCACTTTCTCGTCAAAACAATCACTGACTCAGACAGACTCGGATTAGTTTACTTAAATTTAGCGTTCAGTACAGCGAACGGGGTTATGTTCTGTGAAATTTATCTACAGTCTGCGGCCCACATCATCACTGATCCACGATTTATTTATTTATTTTATTTTCAAGTTCTTTTTAACCGATCCTTGATCCCTGATTTCTCAGGCCTCGATCCTCGATCCTGATTTTCCAGTAAACCTTGAAGTTTTGCTCATTAAGATTATTCTTTTTTTTCGACCACTGAAGTGATCAGTTGTTCCAAAATAATCAACGCTTTCAAGCTATAGAATTCTTGGACCAACCCGTTCCGGAAAAGCTCGATATGGGATTTCTATTAACTATGGACATGAAGTGCTGCAAGTAGAGTGTGCGGTTAGTCAAGTTCAAAGCTACCCGTATAAACACATCCGTGACACGTTAGGGTGGATTTTTGGCTCCGCACGTTACCGCACGTAAATTTTAATCACGTAAATCAAATAGAGGTAAGACATAAAGTCTTGAGATTAAACGTCAAATTAAGCGAGTTTCTACTTTTACGCTTACATAATTGTACGTGCAGCCTTTCATACATTGCCTTTATTTTATTAGCGAACGCAAATTTTACGCAAGTGCGCACGTAAAAATTACGTGACAGTGGATACTTCATATCTCAAGTATTTATGAAGTGCAACACGACTTCGCATCGTAACAACTGCGAAAATCTATCAATTAAATACATTAAACAAAGCGAACCTATTTAAGCGTACATTTCCTGTAATTGCGACAATATTCTGAGAAACGTAACGCCTTAAAAAGCCACAAAATCCTGAGGATTTCCCCGCTATAATATTTTCTCATCCTGCTTGGGGATGTGCCTGCATGTCGTGCATAATTACACGAAAAGCAAGGGCCTCCATTCGACGAAAATTACGACATTGCCAAACTTACATGCGTCATTTCAGTCATCGCCGAAAAAAAACGCATTCTCATCAGGAGACTCATTTCCATACAATGAAAGTCGTCACGATTCTTATCCCCAGTTTCCACGGTCTTCGCTAGGAACGCGGGGCCTACAAACTAGGTCCCACCGACGAAAAAAAAAAAGAGGTTCGCATTTTAAGAGTCTCGCTTTTCTTAAGCAAGCGAGAATAATAAAAGAACTTACAAAATTCCAAATCTGAACTGTCATTTGCCGCTTTAGAAGGGAGGAAANCTTTGAGGTCAAACCATTCCAGTGAAGTCGTGTGGAGCCGCGTTCCACGGGTTCTCTCAGCTTGAAGAGGGACGGTTGTGAACCGAAAGAGAAAGGAAAATCAAGGGTAAGGAAAAATTTGGGGGGGAGGGGGGGGGGGCAAATAAGGTGCATTATGGGAGATGTACAAGTGGCGATTTGCTTTTTAAATAAAACCTTCTCGTTGCACTCGCCGTTGTTGTTGTTGTTTAAGCTCGCCCATTTCCACAATTGATAACGGTACGTTAATAAGGGAGAGTGGTTCCAAAGCGACATGAGGGGCACTGGAAATTTTACGTAATTGCATACTGGTAAGAACTGTTTATATCACTCATTCTTCACTTGTTAAGCAGTCTTAATATTTCGAAATGTATTGTTTTCGCTGTTTTCTTGGTAAAAAAATTTCCGTATTTGGGTAACTTCTTTTAAATTAACTCGTTTTTTGGCCTTTTCAATAGGCTGAGAATCTATTCTGGCATCTGTAAGGTTTTCGTTGATTTTTTCAATTTCTAATTGATTTTGCAAATGGCAATGATGACCTGTCGATCTTAATTAATATTCCATTGTTTCAGTCATTCAACTCCCCAAAAGCTGAATTCAAATCCCTCCCCACACTTTTCGGTCGTCAGATGAATTTTACATGTCCTTCCTCGAAAGTATGCCTGTTGAATATTTGTAAGTTTTTGAAGCACAAATAGATATTTAGGAATAACGTATTTCTGTTCAAAAAAAAGCCTAAGCTATTGCCACCTTTCTGTAACTTGGTTGAGAATGAATATTAGTAAGAATTAAAGAAAAAATCGTTTATCGAATACAGAACTTTATTAAAAGAATATTCACGTTAACTCATTCCTTTAACAAATAAGTTATGTACATAACTTGATTTAAGACCACACGGTTTTTCCTCGGACTAAATGTGGCTTCACTTGCCTACAATAACATTATAGCACTGCTGTAAAGCTGACAAATACATTTATAAATCAAAGAGAGATTTGCTTATTCCTTTCCTCCGGGAAAAAAGGACAATTTTTATTGAAATATTTGAATTCGATTATTAGTTTTGTCGCACACAACAATTTGATCATTACTTAGAACAGCTACTGAGAATGGTTCCTTAAATTCTCCTAATTTGCTGCCATTTGTTCCAAATTTTCCGACAAACTTCCCATCTAGTTCAAAGACTTGTATTCTACGATTACCTTGATCACAAACCAACAGATGATTTGACTGAGTCACTGACAGAAACCGTGGATTATTAAACTCCCCGTCCCTCTCCCCCTGCTTACCAAACTTGTACTGAAAATGCCCCTCCCTGTTAAATACTTTGATACAGTGTTCAGAGGAGTCTGACACTATGAAATATTCACCACACTGAACAGAGTGAGCAGGAAAACTAAAAGAACCCTGCTCACCTATCTTCATTACAAACCTACCATCCGGGGTAAAAATCTTAATCAGTTTGTCAACTATATCAGCAACAATAACATTACCAGTACTATCTAAGGATAAACCCCCAGGAGCAAAGAGCTGACTATCAAGGCTTCCTCCTCTGCCGCCAAATGAACCCAGGTGCCTCCCCTCCCAGCTAAAGATCTGTATTCTGCGGTTATTACTGCCTGCTACAAAAATATTCCTGTCCTTATTAATGGCTGTTCCATACGGGTAACTGAACTCTCCAGCATTCTTACCTGACTGACCAAAGGATCTTAAGAAAGTACCATTACTGTCAAACGCTTGAACCCGATGGTTGCCTTGATCAGCTACTACTATTTCGTCCCCATCACTCACTGCCACCCCCAGAGGATTCATAAACGTTCCCTCAGCCGAGCCTTTCTTTCCAAAAGACAAAACGGGTTTGACTTGAAATGGTTTTAAAATCACAGTAAAAGGACTACAAGAAATATGTTCCCCGTTTACCTTAACTAATAATTTCAATGTCCCGTGAACTCTAGGATAATAAGTGACTTTGTAGATTCCGTTTTCGTTATTATTTATTTGCACTTCCGTTACGCATTCTCGTTCTTATTGGTCCTTGATCTCTATAGTGACACGGTCCTTCTCATCATAACACTGTTTTCTCTCCGCGTTTCTTGTGGTCAAATTGAATTGAGCTTTACGCGCTACAATTCCTTCTTTCAGTCCTTCACCTTCAGCCAGAGATTCGCTTGGTTTTGTTCGATTACCTTTTTCCAAGAAACCAAGTTCTTCGCCGTTGACGACATCAAGCATCTTCTGATTTTTCACGAAACCAAATTTTTTTAGACTACTGGGGTCATGAACAATAGGCTCGGTTTCATTAAATCCATGAAAGATTGTCTGTAATGATTTTTTAAGATGAAAAACTTCCGTGGTGCTACTTCGTTTTAAAAGTTTATCAGCTTCCTCCAATGATGATTCGGTGGCATTTATCTGTCGCTGAATCGCACTTCTTTTTACTTTTAAACTTTCGAGTGACTTTTTCGTTTGGTTTTCCACAGCGGTAATAATATTTTTCATTTTTGCTTGAATTGTTTTGATCAAGCCATCAGCAAACCTTTGGACATCTCTCCTGGCGATTTCACTTTGTTGAATCAGCTTAGCACAGTCCTCGTCTAGTTGAGCAATTACGTTCAGTTTCGCATCTAATCCTTCTCTTTGCGTTTGAAGGATGGATTTTATTTCGAGTGCTTTGTTTTTAGCTTCTACGTCGATTAATTTCAAAACATGACCTCCATGATCCAGAGTGACGCAAGTCTGGCAAAGAACTGTTTCGCATTCTTTGCAGTAGTATTTGAGTTCTTCTTTCTGGTGTCCTTCTTTTGAGCAAAACACCGGTCGCTTCAACACATCCTCGTAGTCCTTGCTTTGGAATTCTTTTAAAGCCAATACGCGGTGATCTTTTTTGTTCCGCATGGTATTATGACATATTAAGCAATGCTCGCAATAAAATAGGCAACACTGGAAACAATACGAAGCTTCCGAGCACTTCTTCTCGCAATTTCCGCGTGTCACTTGAGTCTTTTTGCATTCTTTAATAGCAAGAACATCGATTAAGCCGTTCAAATAAAAGCTTGTTGGAAGATCTTTCAGATCACCGCTCGCAGGTACTCTGCTTAAGGTATGGCACTTCGGGCATTTAATGGCCTGTCCGCCGCCGCACGTTTCGTACCATCGATTCAGACACTTTAAGCAGAAACTGTGCAGACAAGAGAGATGTTTGGGATCCGTAAATAAGTCCGAACACACCGAACAAGACACTTCTTCTCGAAGATTGTAAAATAACGTTGTAAGATCCATGATGGCTTCAGGAACAGATGCAAAATGACCTTCGATTCACTCCACACCCAGCAATGAAGTCTTGTGAAATTCTATCTTTAGCTTTTCTCGGAAACAAAGGACGACGAGTCAATCACAGATCGCTGTTGGAAGAGTCCTTGTCGCGCTAACCAGACGTAAGAAGATCAATAACAAGACAAAGATCAAATTCTTTGTGAAGCAAGAATGCGTGAAAACCCCAGTTATGAGGGATGGTCGTAAATGGCGTAGGTAAAAGAGGAACAACTGTTAGCCTGTTTACGACCATCCCCTCATTCTACGCCATTTTGTTTGAGGGGAGGGAGTGACTGTACAGAGGCTGAACAACTGTTATGCCAGTTGAACTACGGACCAATCTTTCATGTCTTTCATCCTTACATTTAAGGGTTTAATCCGGGCTTAAATTTCTGGAACCTCTTTTTCTTCATTCTTTCCGCTTTCATGAATTCAAGTATCTGATATAATCTGATGGTGTAAAAAGTCCCTAACAGGGCCGGTTATACACCTTCAGGAACAAAGGCAAAATGACCTTCCATGCACTCCACACCCAACAATGAAGTCTTGTGACTTTCTATCTTTAGCTTTTCTCCGAAACAAAGGCCGACGAGCCAATCACGATCAATGTTGTAAGAGTCCTTGTCGCGCCAGCTTTAGTTTGTTATTTTAAATGCAAATTATTTGAAACTTAAACCAGACGTAAAATCAATAACAAGATGAAGATTAAATCATTTGTGAAGCAAGAATGCGTTTAAGCCATCACTTAACTATGAAGGATACGAAATCGAGTACGAGTGCAGAGTAAATATATAAAAGCGAAACATCTGTTAGCTTGTGTACCTTCCCCCGTCTCTCTCCTCTATTTTGTTCGAGGGGAGGGGTGACTGTACTCGTTCTATTCCCGTTTTAAGACCGAAACTTTTGGGCGGCACATACCTATATGGGTAACTAATGAAGTACCCCCCCCCCCGGGACACAGTCTAAACAAATGTCTTTGAAAGTATTATATTGTCATGTTAGTTAACTTACGGGCCAAACTCCTACCCTTGCCCTGAAGGGTTTAAACCAGGTTTAAATTAAGTAAGTTCATGTTTTCCGCAGACAAATTAATTTTGGCAAAATTTAATACAAGTCTGTAACATATTATGATAGTGTCAAAGGCCCCTATCAGGGCCGGCTATACAGCATCATTGTTTCAGGTACAAATCTTGTAGGACTTATTACAATAGCTAAATATCTCGCCTCAAGGAATTTTCGGTCAGATGACTTTTTCATGTCCTTCCACGAGAATATGCCTATTGAATATTTATACGTTTTTCAAGCATAAATAGATGTGAAAAGCTGTATCACTGCCACCATTCTGTAACTCGGTTGAGACTGAATATTAGTGAGAATTAAAGAAGAAATCGTTTATCGAATACAGAACTTTATTAAAAGAATATGCAAGTTAACTCATTCCTTTAACAAGTAAGTTTTGTACATAACTTGATTCAAGACCATACGATTTTTCGTCGGGCTAAATGTGGCTTCACTTGCCTACAATAACATTTAATTTATAGCACCGCTGTACAGCTGACATATACATTTATAAAACAAAGAGGGATTCGCTTATTATATAGTTTTCTCAGCTGCAGGAAAAAAAGGACAATTTTTATTGAAATATCTGAATTCGATGATTGGCTTTGTCGCACACAACAATTTGATCATTACTTAGAACAGCTACTGAGAATGGTTCCTTGAATTCTCCTAATTTGCTACCATTTGTTCCAAATTTTCCGACAAACTTCCCATCTAGTTCAAAGACTTGTATTCTGTGATTATCCCTATCACAAACAAACAGGTGTTTTGACTGAGTCACTGACAAAAAACGTGGAAAATCAAACTCCCCGTCCTCCTTCCCCTGCTTACCAAACTTGTACTGAAAATGCCCCTCCCGGTTAAATACTGTGATACAGTGTTCATTTGAGTCTGACACCATGAAATAATCACCACACTGAACACAGTGAGTAGGGTGACTCAGAGAACCCTGCCCACCTATCTTCATTACAAACCTACCATCCGGGCTAAAAATCTTAATCAGTTTGTTACCTGTATCAGCAACAATAACATTACCAGTACTATCTAAGGATAAACCCCGAGGACCAGACAGCTGACTATCAAGGCTTCCTTTGCCACCAAATGAACCCAGGTGCCTCCCCTCCCAACTAAGAATCTGTATTCTGTGGTTGTTATTGTCTGCTACAAAAATATTCCTGTCCTTACTAATGACTATTCCAAAAGGGTATTTGAACTCTCCACCATTTTCACCTCTGTGACCAAAGGATCTTAAAAAGGTACCATTACTGTCAAACACTTGAACCCGATGGTTTAACTGGTCAGTTACTACTATTTCGTCCACATCACCCACTGCCACCCCCAAAGGAAACTTAAACATTTCTTCACCCGAGCCTTCCTTTCCAAAAGATAAAACAGGTTTGACTTGAAATGGTTTTAAAATCACAGTAAAAGGGCTACAAGAAATATGTTCATCGTTTACTTTAACTAATAATTTGAACGTCCCATGAACTCTGGGATAATAAGTGATTTTGTAGATTCCATTTTTGTTATCATCTATTTTCACTTGGGTCACGCATTCTTGTCCTTGTTCGTCCTTGATCTCTATCGTGACACGGTCCCTCTCATTATAACACTGTTTTCTTCCCGCGTTTCTTGTGATCAAATTAAATTGAGCTTTACGCGCTACAATTCCTTCTTTCACTCCTTCACCTTCAGCCAGAGATTCGCTTGGTTTTGTTCGATTACCTTCTTCCAAGAAACCAAGTTCTTCGCCGTTGACGACATCGAGCATCTTTTGATTTTCCACGAAAACTAAAGTTTGCAGTTTACTGGGGTCATAAACAAGAGGGTCGGTTTGATTAAATCCATGAAAAATTGTCTGTAGTGATTTTTTAAGTTGAACAACTTCCGCGGTGGTACTTCGTTTTAAAAGTTTATCAGATTCCTCCAGTGATGATTCAGTGACATTTATCTGTTTTTGAATCTCGCTTCTTTTTGCTTTTAAGCTTTCAAGTGACTTCTTCGTTTGGTTTTCCAACGTGGTAATAATATTTTGCATTTTTGCTTGAATTGTTTTGATCAAGCCATCAGCAAACCTTTGGACATCTCTCCTGGCGATTTCACTTTGTTGAATCACTTTAGCGCGGTCCTCGTCTAGTTGGGCAAGTAGGTTGAGGTTTGCATTTAATCCTTCTCTTTTTGTTTGAAGAACAGTATTCATTTCGAGTTTTTGGCTTTCGGCTTCTTCCTCGATTAATTTCAAAACATGACCTCCGTGATCCAAAGCGAAACAAGTTTGACAAAGAACTGTTTCACATTCTTTGCAGTAGAATTTGAGCTCTTCTTTCTGGTGTCCTTGTTTTGAACAAAATACTGGCCGCTTCAATACGTCCTCGTAGTCCTTGCTTTGGAATTCTTTTAACGCCAATACGCGGTGTTCCTTTTTGTCCCGCATGGTATTATGACATATTAAGCAATGCTCGCAATAAAATATGCAACACTGGAAACAATACGAAGCTTCCGAGCACTTCTTGTCGCAGTTTCCGCATGTAACTTGAGTCTTCTTGCATTCTTTAATAGCAAGAACATCGATTAAACCGTTCAAATAAAAGCTGGTTGGAAGATCTTTCAGATCACCGCTCGCAGGTACTCCGCTTAGGGTTTGGCACTTTGGACATTTAATGGCCTGTCCACCGCCGCACGTTTCGTACCATCGATCCAGACACTTTAAGCAGAAACTGTGCAGACAGGAGAGATGTTTAGGATCCGTAAATAAGTCCGAGCACACCGAACAAGACACTTCTTCGCGAAGATTGTGAAATAGCGTTGTTAGATCCATGATGTCTTTAGGAACAAAGGCGAAGTGACCTTTCGATGCACTCTACAAATGAAATCTTATGACTTTCTATCTTTAGCTTTTCTCGGAAACATAACAAAGGCCGACGAGCCAATCACGATCGCGAATGTAAGAGTCCTTGTCGCGCCAGCTTTAGTTTGCCATTTTAAAATGCAAATCAGTTATTTTGAAACATAAACCAGGCGTAAAATGATCAATCTAAACCACCACGCACGCACGCTTTGGGATCTGACAGTCTTTATTACAACAGGGAACACTTAAACGCAAGGAAATACACCCGAGANTTGTCCCGCATGGTATTATGACATATTAAGCAATGCTCGCAATAAAATATGCAACACTGGAAACAATACGAAGCTTCCGAGCACTTCTTGTCGCAGTTTCCGCATGTAACTTGAGTCTTCTTGCATTCTTTAATAGCAAGAACATCGATTAAACCGTTCAAATAAAAGCTGGTTGGAAGATCTTTCAGATCACCGCTCGCAGGTACTCCGCTTAGGGTTTGGCACTTTGGACATTTAATGGCCTGTCCACCGCCGCACGTTTCGTACCATCGATCCAGACACTTTAAGCAGAAACTGTGCAGACAGGAGAGATGTTTAGGATCCGTAAATAAGTCCGAGCACACCGAACAAGACACTTCTTCGCGAAGATTGTGAAATAGCGTTGTTAGATCCATGATGTCTTTAGGAACAAAGGCGAAGTGACCTTTCGATGCACTCTACAAATGAAATCTTATGACTTTCTATCTTTAGCTTTTCTCGGAAACATAACAAAGGCCGACGAGCCAATCACGATCGCGAATGTAAGAGTCCTTGTCGCGCCAGCTTTAGTTTGCCATTTTAAAATGCAAATCAGTTATTTTGAAACATAAACCAGGCGTAAAATGATCAATCTAAACCACCACGCACGCACGCTTTGGGATCTGACAGTCTTTATTACAACAGGGAACACTTAAACGCAAGGAAATACACCCGAGATAACTGATTAAAACAAATACTTAAAACTACAGTCAAATCTTAAAAAGGAATACAAACAACAGAAAGACCAGAAGACTGTCCGTGGGAGTGGCGGGATGGGAAAATTTGTATCTGCAGTATGCTTACAATCTCGCTTCTGAACTCTGCTTGCTCATGCTATAAACTGCGTCTATACCCGAGGAGTATGCTATTAGAACTAAATTTACAAAACCTATCACTATCTGATTGGTTGCTTAAAATCTTGTGACTATCAGCTATATCGTGGTAATTTTACATCCTCAGTGTATTTTGCTGATGGCTAGTTAATGTTCGCTACCTAGGGGGGTGGTCTAGATTTATATTAATACAAGTACCAATGTCCACAACAAGACGAAGATTTAAAAAATTCCTTGGTGAATCAATCCTGCGTAAAAGACACAAATATGAAAAATGCTAAATCAAGTACGAGTGCGGCGTAGATAAACTGAAGCTCCCGTCTCTCTCCTCCATTTTGTTTCTAAGACCGAAACGGCTCAAACACCATACTCTTTGGAGCGGCACATGCCTTTATGGGTAAAATAATGGACTACCCTCCCCCCCGGGACACGGTCTAAACAAATGTCTGTGAAACTATTATACTGACATGTTAGTTAACCCACAGACCAATCTCTTATCCTTTCCCTCAGGGGTTTAAACCAAGTTTTAAATTAAGTAACTTAGTTGTTCCGCAGACAAATTTTGGCAAAATTTAATAGAGCTCTATAACATATTACGATGGTGTCAAAGGTCCCTAACAGGGCCGGCTACACAGCATAATTGTTTCCGTTACAGATCTTGTAGGGCTTATCACGTTAGGCAAATAAAAACACAGCATAACTCAACAAGCCAGTTGCCGGATGTTGCAAATACACTGACCCCCTTTCCGCCTCCTCCCCCCCCCCCCACCCCGCCCCTCCACCACCACCCCTCCCCCACTCCCCCACACCCCCCCGCCACCC